TATCTAAAAATTATTTTTGGATCACAGAACCATTCTCAGCATTCTTTTAAGGTCAGGGGAGAAGCAACCTTAAAATAGAATTGACTGTGCCTATACAGATAAGCCTGAAAAGTCACGTTCTTTAAGATTAGGGGAATCTTACATTATAGTCAGCTATGTTCACTTGCCTATTTCAGATGCCATATGTAGCATGATGATATATCACACTCTTTCAAAGCCAGGAGACTGTCCCAGAACTCAGCAGTTCACATTAATTTCACAAGGGAGATCATTCAGGATGCCAAACTTTTAATATATAACATTTGGAAAAACAAAAAAGGGGATAAGATTGTGATGATGACCATAAAGAATGGCAAATGAGCATAATGCAAAAAAGGAGACTCAAGCCAAGATCTGACCTACAACAGTTCTTCAACCATAAATTTTCAAACCTAATCAAATCATTCTGTCCAAACTGTAAAATTTTGTTCATGCATAAATATGTATTAATATTTATTAATAACTAAATATTCATTCTTCCTGTTTGTAGAATTAATTCTTATCATTCATTTGTACTTTTACACGGTTGTTTTTCAGACCCATTTTAATGAAGATTTTACTGTGGAAGCATCAGGAAAAGGACATGTGACTTTGACCATCACAATGAAATATCATAAAAAGGTGCAGAATGAGAAAGCTCAGTGCAAGAATTTTAATTTGCAGGTTTCTGTGGAAGAAATCAAGCTGGGTAAGTCTAAACACTGAGGTTAGATTTACTTTCAGTTTCTAACTTTCCTGAAAAGACTGGATGTTGTTCAGTAATGAATTTCCTGAGGATTTTAGCATTTTTTAAAATCTCAGTGTAGTACTATAGAAACCATATGTGCCTCCTTGGAGAATTGTGCTACAGCTTTAAAACTAAATATATTTCTATTTATTACAGCCACAAAGCCAACATCTCAAGTTTTAAACATTGAAAATCTTTGTACAGTGTTTGCAGCTGTGCATTTTGTGAGAAAACAATCCACTTTGCTGATAAACTGGGACACTGAAAGCAGTTCATAGGCCAGAAACTAGCATGAAGTATTTCTACTCCTAGGATCCTGCCATTCTCCTCACTGGGAACATCTTTCCAGTCCCTGCCCTGAGGGAACCATCATTCCTGTCCAGGAACATTATTCTCATTCCAGGCAAACCTTTTTATTAACGTAATTTTTCTTCCCTATTTGAAGGCATGGGGGTATCGACACATTGAACAAATCTCCACCAATGTCCAGTAAAGCGAGGCTCATCTGCCAGAATGTAGGAACTCCTTCTGTCTGTTCCCTCCTTCAAGTTCACTGTCTGCTTTCATCTAGGAAACAGTTCTCAGCCACTTCTCAGTTCTTAGTGGTCCACTACTATAATTCACCACACATCTGCCTGAGCTGGGTGGTGACAAATTTGAAAAATAAATAAGTAAGTAAGTAAGTAAGTCAGGAAAGGGAAAGCTCAAATTTCAAAATGAGCTGAGGAAAATGAAGGCTGCTAAGAGTAACAAGAGGCCTTCTTTAGCTGCCTTCACAGTAAAAGGAAAAGAATCAGTTTACCCACTACTCAGTAAAGATGGCCAAATGCTAACAGGTAACAAAGGAAAGGCCATGCTACTCAACTCCTATTTAGGTTAGACCCACAGTTGTTCTTCCACGAGATCATGCAACTCCTCCTGTCCTGGAGTGTTGTGATTGTCCTTCCAGCTCCTATTGGGTTTACTTCCAACAAGCCTACTGCCAAGTTTTCAACCAGGTGGGAAGGCTCTAAGGGGCAATTTCCCCCCACCCCACTGGGGCATCCAGTATGAAAAATAGCCAACATGTTCCATTTGCATTAGAAAAACAATAATCATATAGATATACAGACAGTATTATCCAGGTACAGGAATAATATGAAATAATAATAAGCTATTGAACTCAACAGGATGAATCTCTCTGTGTCCAGGTTAGTCCTCTGTCCTCTCTCACAAATAATAGAGCTGTCTCCTTAAAGGGACCCAGTGCTGTGTGTAGTTAATCCATCTCTCTCCCTTCCTTTGCAAAATGCCCACAGCAACAGACATTTCTGTGCAGCAGCTTCTCTCACTTTCTTGGCTGCTTAGTCAGTTCCCAAATCCAGTTCTCCTCCACTCAGTTCCAAGCATCAATCTCCCGCAACCATTTCAATGGGCAATTTTCTAGCTGGTGAAAAGGCCAGCCTCTCTCTCCCCAGCTGATACACCTCTCCTTTGCTTACCCCAAGCTGCCCCTCTCCTCTTGTTAGCTGCAGGAATTGGAACCCCAGTTGGTCAAACTGCTCACAAGTGTCTTTCTCTTTCCCTTAACTTATTCCCTGTATTATGAAATGTTGCCTTTCTCTGAGCTAGGCAGTTCCTTCTCTCTTTCCTCTATTTATGAACCATGCTCCCAGGCTAAGCTTCTGCTTTTTTCCTTTCTCCTCCTCCCATGCCTATGTGCGTCTGTCACCCATAGCTCCATAGATGTTATGCCTTTCCCAAGCTCTAAGTTTAGTTTCTTGCCTCTTTATGTGATAAGCCCTTCATCTCTTCCCTTTAGCTTTGCCTCTATTTAATGTAGCAACTCTGAGGATCCTATTTCCCCTACTTCTGATCTTTTTTCCCAGCTACAGATCCTTCAACCCAATTTAACTTCCTTACTTCTCCTGGCCAAAACTCTGGCCAGTATGCACCAGAGTTTATTATTTATTTCCGAGCTCCACTGAAGAATTGAGGTGTGATCCTCATTCTCTCTCTCTCTCTTTTACAGTAGTTATAACCTGCCCCAACCCCAGAAGACTCTGGATAATATACATCAGAATGAAAAGAAAACATGACAATAAAACTAAATCAAAACCCATGTTCAGTCAGTTGGCACTGAAGCCATGTTTAAATATTACAGATTTAACTTGCTTGAGGAATTGGTTGCACATATTTCTGGGGGAGGCTATTCCACAAATTGGGGTCTACCACAGAGAAGGTCTTCTGACTTGTCCATAACACATCTACCTTGTAGGAGGGGGGATTTTCAGCAGGCCCTCTTAGATGACAGGTTACACTCAGTTTTAGTTTCCCTTAAAATCAAGAATTCCCACATTACATGAACACCCTGGAATGTAGCATAGTTATTAAGTTTCCTTTATGCTAGGAAGTAGGTAAGATATTGTGAACCTTCTCAGAGGTATCCACGGATAGTAGCTATGATGGCACCAAAATGACAAAAGTATGTTGTGATGGTATGATGTAAGCTCTGTCCTTTTGTACTTGCATTGTGACATCTTACACCAATATGTAAGGGGTGGAATGCAGATCATTCTACATCTGACAGAATATTTAAAGTTATGAAGTTTTAATATTATTTAAAATGTTAATGCATTCATTTAATAACAATTAGCATTTAAATAATTCAACATAAAAAAGCTGCACGTGCTATTTTTTTTTTCATGATATTTCTATGTCTTCCCTTCCCTTCTGGTATTTATTCTAAGCAGCTCATGTGTAGCTTACACTGACTTCAGTAAAATCATGAGGTCATTCTTAGCTCCCATCATTTACCATGGAATTTAAGATACTTCCTGCTATTTCTTATTGATATTCTTATAAACATGCTTGTCCTTCATTAGAGTTTGACCCTTTGTAGAAAACTTCCTCTAATGTATGTGGTTAATATAATTACCTGAAAAATGTCTTCTTATCTTCTTTGTCACTTTAATTTCTTTAATATAGGCTTTTATTTATGTTAGTTTTATTTATTATATGTTAGCTTTTCTTTTAAGTTATTATCTCAGCTTCTATGCTTCCAGAAAAAAAAAAAATCCTGACAGACAGACAGACAGGCATGTTATGTGCTACTGTGAAATCTGCTGGCAAAAGGTTGTATAAAATTGCTCCAACAGAATCTGTGGTGCATATCTTGTACATCCCTAGCTATGGCTCTCTTTTAGAAAGACAAAAACTCAAAACCTTATAGAAAGAACTGTTTCGTGAATAGACTACTATTGTAAATTTTCATTTTGGTTTTGCATCATATAATTTCTAGGGAAAGAGGAACCAGATAAAGCACTTCCAAGAGCAATCAATATTAAAATCTGTGCCAGGTAAGCATGTGAGACGTTAAAGATTACCACGTCAGCTGAGGAGAAATACTTGTGCAAATGCATGTATTTGGAAAAACTGTAAGTAGAAATGTGTATTTGAGGAAAAACTTTGTACAAAAATGCATATATTAAGGGAACTGCACAAATACAGCTATTCTCACAGACAACCAAAAAACTAAGAAATTGAATTACTATTTCCCCATTTTTAGTAAATTTTCTACAACCACAGAACTAGCTTACTATCACCTCATGTTTAGACTATTGCAATGCACTCTATATGGGCTGTCCTTGAAGACCACTCAGAACCTGCTGCTAGGCCATAATGCAGCAGCATTGGCAGTGAGGGATATGCCTCAATACCCATGTGGCACCTCTGCTGGTTCCGGGTGAGTTTCCAGGTGCAATTAAAGATACTGGCTGTGATCTCTAAAAGCCCTTTCTGGCCTGCAGCTGGTTTACTTGAGGGACCTCTGTAATGGTATGTGGGAACGACCTTGGGAGACTGGGGGAAGAGCCTCAGCCAGGGCAACGGTCTGATAAGAGGCAGCTGAGCCCACAGCAGGAATGTGGGCATGGCAAACATCTCAGAAGGGACCCTCCCTAGTTTCTTGGGCTGTAAAGGCAACAGGGAAGAAATGTACTTTCAGACTTGCAAGATTGATGTCAGCCTTTTGAGGTAGTCCAGACAAGAAGCATATCCAGGAGAACTAGCTCTATCTTCATTGTAAGGTTACATGAAAAGAATCTTGGCTCTTATCTGACCGTTGCCCTGGCTGTGGCTCTTCCTCCTGTCTCCCAAAGTCATTCCCACATACCATTACAACCTCCTTTCTCCCATTATTTCAGCCTGCCCTTTAAAATCCAGCAGAGTGAGCATGCCCCATTTCCCATCCTTGAAACAATGTCATCTTGTGGTTCCAGGAAGTGTGCTTTCCCTATGGGGGTGGCTGCCCTTGGAATGGTATCCCTGTGGAGGTTTGTGCTGCCCCAATGCCATCTTTTAAGCAAGCCTTGAAGACCTGGCTGTTTCCCCAGGCTTGGGACAAGGATGAGGATGAGGATGAGGAGAGCCTTTGGCTGTCCTGTATTATCGGAAATTGTTCTTCTTTGGTTTTTATTAGTTTTATCAGGCCGTGCCATCTTACAGTTTTTATTATGGTTTGTCGCATAGTCAGCCAGATGTTTAGAATGAATATGGTATTTTTATCCAGCTATCAAGTCCTTCCCAAGGACCTGGGATAGGCAGATGCTGTTGTTTGATCGTGTTAAAGGTATCATTGTAGGATATAAGCTATTCCAAGTGAAGCTGCCTTTTGCAATTGACTGATGGTGATTTTGTCAATGCCAATAACGTTCAAGTGGTGCTCCAGATGTTGTTGTTGTTGTGGTTGGTTGTTTAGACTGGATTTGGCATTTTTATCCATGTATTGAGTCCTTCCCAAGGACCTGGGTCAGACAGATGTTGTTGTCTGATGGTTAAAGGTGGTGGTATTATTATTATTATTATTATTATTATTATTATTATTATTATTTTCTTGTAAACTGCCAGAAACAGTTGAGTTGAGTGGCTCTATACATTTGAAATGATGATGATAGGAATGTAATGAACTAGTTAAATTGAAGCACACTTCCTTTCTAAGTGGTGATATCAGCTGACAGCTATCACAATTATTCCATGCTTCTGCTATAGCATGATGGTGAGCATGAGGATGACGTGAGGGAGAGGCTGTTGCTTTTAAAATGTATTGGGAATTATTTGCAGGAAGGGTGGCAGTCCTTACTATCAGGACGTTTTCTCCAATTCCAGGTACCTTGGTGTTACTGGTGCAGAAAATACTATCATTGATATTTCTATGCTCTCCGGGTTTCAACCTGACATTGAAGAGCTTAAGAAAGTAAGTGATGTTGGAAGTGGTTGCTTTTACGGTGTTTTCCTACAGATGGGTTCTGGCTAATTCTGAATGTGACCCATCACAGGCTGGCGCCTATTCATTGGGGTATCAGCTGGCTGGAACAAGGGATATTTACTTCCTGCTTACCCAATAGGAGGACAAGTTTTCCCCCAGATAAGTATCAGGGAATGCGGTACTAATGGAGCTTGTTTTGCATTTGCTGAGGTTAGAAAACACAGTTGAAACCAAGTAGGGGGAAAGATAGAAATGGCTTCAAATACCTCTACTAAGGACGCTTACTACCATTCTGTAGAAAAAGGGAGCATTTAGTCCTGCCACTGGACAAGTTTTCTTTCTCTTTTCTCTGCTTTCTAGTCAAGTGTCCCTCATTCAGTTTTGTTTTCCTCCCTCCCTCCCTTTTTCTTTCTCTTTCTTCTTCCCTCCTTCCTTCCCTCCCTCCCTCCTCTTTGCAGTAAAATTCCTTCTTCCCCTGATTCCTCCTCCATCTCCTTTTTTTTCCTTCCTTCTTGAAGTTTTTCTAGATAGAGGGAGGGGAAAGGGTGTGAGTATGTGTACTTCTGTGTGCATGAGAGAGGACAGTTGGTATATCAAATGGGGATCAATTAATTTTATAATTGACAAACAATATGATATTTGACAGGGAGTTCATTTTAATCAGTAGTTTTTAACTCAATTAGTATCTCTCCCCACCCCTTTTTTTCTAAATATGGCTTCTGTCAGGTATATATTCTCTCACAGAGATAATACATATGTACCTGCACATGCACATATGTATGTATGTATATGTAGACTTCATTGCAAATATCCATATTTAGGCTACAGCCCTGTAATGGCTTACCAAATTTTCAGGCAATAGTAGATATGGTGATCTACTGTGATCGGTATTAATACGATGCTGATTTTGAAATAGGCTGCTCTGCTATGGCAAAGAGATTGTTTTTTAAAAAACACTGAATAAGGATCAGATGTGTGAACAACTCATTAATTATGGAATGCAAAATAAATGAGAGCCCATTTGGTATAGTGATTGAGGTGCTAGAGTAGAAATTAGGAGATTGTGAGTTCTAGTCCCATCTTAGTAATGAAAGCCTGCTGGGTGACTTTCGGCCAGTCACTCTCTCTCAGCCAAACTCACCTCATAGGGTGGTTATTGTGGAAGCATTATGTAGCTGCCTTGAATTATACAAAATGGAGGTGGGACATAAATCTAATAATATTTAAAATAAATAAAGGTGGCCTTGAAAGGAACTGAACTGCAATCTAAGGATATGGATAGTTTTCTTGGAATACTTCCTTAAGCTTAATCTTCCTGAAACTCTTGAAATTTCTTAGAAGCCTTTCCTGAGCATGCGCGCTCAATTTTTTTTTAACCAATTTACTGCAGGCAAAAGAGAGACAGCTTTGATCCTGAGGGATTGCTTCCTTATGGTATCAACTGTGTTTCCCTTGTTTTGTCTCCATGTGTAGCTTTATGAAGAAGTCATCAGCAATGTGGTGTTTGGAAAAGGGAAACTTCTCATCTACTTAAACCTGGTGAGGAATCTAAAGAAAAGAGGTTCATGTGTATTAAAGCAGAGTCTATCCAGTTCAAGAAGAATGGGATGTGTATATCACCTTGAACTGTTCCAAGAATCTTTAACTCTACAAGCCATATCTAAAGTCATGTACTGTATGTATATTGAGAAGCTAATATTCTGTTATATTTTGTATTATCAGAAGGCAACATTTTAGCACTGAAGGGAACTGGGATTAGGGCTTATTTAATATGCAAGTTTATCTACACATGCACACACATATTACCTCCCACTTACCAGACTAATATCACCTAACCCACTCCTTCTCAATGATTCGGAGCAAGTATTAGGTTTAATAACTGAGCCACTGATGGGGCAGTAAATAAAGTGATGCCAAATTGGCCAAAGTTACAACTCCTTCCACTGAAAGGGACTAAGAATAGAAGACATTGCTTGCAAAGCAAAAGGAACTCACACCACTTCCAAATTTTCTTTACTTGGCACCCAAAGACTTAATCTGTCCTTTCTCTCTTTATCCTTAGGTCTCTCACATAACAGATACATGTTTGCAACTCAGAGCTGTTGGTCCTAAATTGGCAGACAATTTCATTCAGCCAGGATCAGTCAAGATCTATACCTATGATGCTCCAGGTAATGGTAACTACAGTCTCCCTATCAATTCTGCAGAATAGGAACAAATACCATCTTTAATACATTGAATCCACTTGGGGTGGGGGGAGAGGGGGTAGTCTCAATTTTATGAACACAGCTGGAAAAGAAAAAGCTCTTGTTTCTTTTTTTGCCAGCCACTAGCATTAAAATCATATGTCCATAAAATTTTTGCCAGCCACAAATGTAATTGATGGTGCAAAATCCTTGTGATTGTTGTATGGGTACATAAATTTGCAGAAGTAACTGTATCAATTGATTGATAACCCAAACCCTAATTCATCTGGTGGGGAGAAAAGCACGAGAGCTGAAATAAGCGAATGTAATCAACTGGTGCACAAAACTCACTGGTGAGCAAAAAAGGAACAAGAACCCAAACTCCTTCCATTATAGTATTTTACAGCCACAAAAGACAATTACAATGGATCACAATACTGTTGAACAGAGGGTAATTATGTAAACATTTTCTACAATATGCAAACTTTGGTCTGCTGTTAAGAAAAAATGTCAGTATGATTTGGTGAACAGAATGTGTGGCCCGAAGTATTTTCACACTATAATCAGTTTTGCAGCTTCATCAGACTAATGTGTCACTATTACACCTTGCAGTTTTCAGGCTTTCAGAGACCAAACTAGTGTCACATAGGTTCCATTTTGCTCCCAAATCAATTCTATTTAGCCCTGGAAGCCTTGCCAAATTCAAATCGGAGTGGGGTAAAACTGCTTTCATCTAAGCAAAACTGTAGGCAAAGCAAAACTGTAAGAAATAGTAATATTAAATGTTTCCAAATTTATATATAATTATTAAATTAAATTATTAAATTAAAAGTTATATATAATTTTATATAAATTTTATAAATTTATATAAAAAATAAATGTTCCTAAATAAAGAATAGAAGCAAGCCATTCTTGTTGTTTGATAA